ACTTTGGAAATACAATAATCCTGCAAACATTTAAACTCCCTGGAAATTCTTAATTTATGATAGTCACACCCAATATAAGTGAGAATCAGTCCTCATCCTTTGATTAACACTGAGGGAAAGAGACAAAGCTACTGGTTAGCCAGAATGTAATAATTCAGAAACACAATAAATCCAATCGAAAGGTATCAATCTGTATAACAAGGTAAAGCCCACAAGTATTCTGGGGTTTCTTTTCTGCTGTTTGACAATTAACCAAAACAAGCACCAGGAACGTCATTACTACCACAGACAGAATTACTCTTAATGGTTTACTTACAGTCTTTTTTCAATTATTAAAATGCCCTATAAGGTAAAGTCATAAAATGCTGTGACAGTTAAGGCAAAAATTAAATGTTAAATTATTTTCATATAAGATAAAAATAATCACTGAAGAGTTTATGAATCTAGTTACCACACTTACTCTCAAAGTCCAGTTTGCACAACATAGTTAGTGAAACCATTTCAATTTTTTCCAACCAGCTTTCGTAGGTCCCACATGAAATTTAACATGACTCAGCATAAATATCTTCACCTTCTTCAGACTAAAACCTTCTCCCAAGAAAACTATTTTAAGACTACACACCTTCCTTGAATATAACCTAGTCTCTGCAGCATAAAAGACACTTCAAACCCTTGTTTTGGGAGGGGTAGGGTTAAAAAAAAATTCTTATTCCCTTTCCCATTCAAACTAACCTGCATAAAAGACAATTTTATATAGGATTTCACTTGTTAATACGTGAACTATAATTCCATTTGACTAATCATTTTATTCTGAAGTAAGACTGTTAAAAGTTTTTGTTAAAGCCAACAGGTAAACCTTCACATCTGAATTGTATGTGTCAATTACCAAAGATGATTTTTTATAAGGTATTAAGCTAATAAACTTCAAACACATAAAATATATATGTGTGTGTGTGTATACATCGTGTGTGTTATATACACAAACCTATATATACATAATAGTTCATGGTTTTATTTTCCTTCCCTGTTACTGAAGGAAAAGCTTGTAAGAAAATGGAAAGTCCGTTAGCTGTCTCCCATCCTAACTTTGAAATGAAATATGAGCAAAAAAGTAAAATTAAGGACTCAGTTCTTCAGACACTTATATTTTAAATTAAAAGGTACCTGTATAGCATCCAAATGCAAACCTAAAATGAACAGAGACAGCAGTGCCCTGGGACAGTAGTGAAATGCACAAAGATACGTCTTTTGTGCTTGTCTATCAGTGCACATTTTATGTACAGGACATGAAGACAGCAAGTCCTCTGCTACTCATTCACTGCAGGAAGTATTAACATCTAACAACTACTAAGGAATAGTTACTACCTTGCTAAACTGCATTCAGCTGAGAACTTTTGCTTTCATTTGTTGCTATCCATAGCTGATTCCAAAATATCACAAAAGAATAAAATAAACTGAGATATTTCACAAAGAACTAGCTAATCTCTTAAAGCTTGAGAAATAACTAACAATGTAGATTTGTGCCCCAAATGCTTCACACCATAGTTTGTAGCTAGAGATTGCTTCAGAACCTCAGTCAATGAATGCAAAGCAGATTAAATTAAAATGTTACATACCTCAGAAAGTCCACAACCTAAGACTGTTAACTAAAACCTCTCCAGGACTAGCAGAATACTGCCCATTTCACCCTAGAACCAAAGTTTTCTTTGTTCCCAATCTGACAGCTACATGCACTGAGACCCAAAACAGCAGTGGTGTCCATAACCTTCCCCTCCACTTGTGGCCCAAGGGCAAGATATGATCACTGCATAAAATTCCCACAGCGGCAGATTTACCGTAAGGATGTAGCACAAACTAACCTTCTATAGAAGGGACAAGATACAAAGTGTGGGGTAGTGGTGGGGACTCCATGGCCTCTTTCTGGCTTCGGAAGCCAATAACCAAAACGACACCCAAACCCCTCTAAGAGCCCTCCCACCAAAAAAGCAGCACATGTATATGTTCAGGGCCTTATTCTTCCATCGGACTAAAGGACTAAAGAAGTCTACCAAGAGGAGGGTCCATGTGGGCCAAAGTTTCGAAACAAGGCAATTGATTTCTGCATCCAATCCCTTTCCCCCAAGCACCACTGGCCAGTACTACACAGCTGACACAAGCACTCTGTCATGTTTCTTTTCAGATTGTGCTTTCGAGCCACGACCGTCGCTAGACCATCCCCTCTGCTAACCACAGAAGACACAAGACAAATGCAATCTCTTTACTAGTGATTTCATTAATCTGGGGACCCAGATTAAAGATTCAATTATAAACATCTCTCCAAAATAAAACTTCCTTATTTTACCATAGTTTTTTAAATTTACATTTCTTTGTACTTTACATTAAAGTCTGAGCAACTAAAAGCTGGTGGAAGCCAGCCCTTCAAGTCCACTACCATGTATGAGAGGTAGCTTTATGCTCTTCCCTAGCTTTACACTACTGCTTCAATAGTACATGTGGTTTGTCATAAGAGAACTACATGGGAAGGAATGGATCACCGTTCAGGACGAATGTATAGCTACCTCATGAAGTGGCTCTGTCACACGCCTGACCATGGCCGGCTGTGATCGCACACTCCTGGAAGAAAGTACAGCACTTCAGTGTGGTTGGAGCTGTAAATTATTGAAACAGGAAGGACCGGGCTCAAAACACCAATCTTTCAAGTGAGAAAAATTGCTTTAGATTTACTGGATTGCTTGGCAACCATAAAAAAAATAAGGACAACTTTATCCAGAGCTAGAAAACACTTGGTCGTGACCATATATATTAGACACTGCTTGGCCTAGGCAATGATCACGTTTCTAGCCTAATACAACAGAGAGCACTCAAGAACTGGATTATCTTCTAAAATTTCTTCCTTATACTCTCTTTGCCCAGCAACTATAGCTATCTCCTTCCTTCAGGGCACTTCTGTTCTATAATAATCATCTATCTTATATTTTGAAACTGCAATCCAGAGCTTTATTTTGAAAGCATGGGACAGAGCCTTTATTGCCTATTTGCAATCTGCCGTCTTCAGGACACACAAGTATAAAAACTTCAAGAGCAACTTAACTCTAGGAAGAAAAAGATGCTGATGCCATCATAATCTCATTTTTAGAGTTCTCCGTAACTATACAAATACACTTTAAAGTCTTAGGACAGAATATAAAATGAGGAACTCTAGCTAGGCTTTACCAAGCTATAAGAAATAAGGTCTAACAAAACTGTTGTTTTACTAAACCTGTTTACCCAGAAACAGGTACTTAAAGGTAAAGGATATTTTGATATCTTCAGACAAAGTAAGACTTTGTCTAGCTTATCATTCATCTAAAGCTGCAATACATATGAGCCCCTTCCCCACTGCCAGAATATAATCTGAGTCAAAATCACTAAGTGACTTACTTTTCTTCAATCATTAATATGTAAATGAATCTGACCTTGTAACTATGATTAATATGCAAAGAAAACACTGCCTCAGAGAACACAGACACAGTAGATGTCAATAAAAAATCTCAACAGGCAGAGAGAGGTACTGGTACAAAAATAAAGATAAAAAGCCAAGAGACATTATCATAGTAAGAAAAGTAAGTTGGCAAACAGTCTAATTTTTATATTGACTTTGCTCCTTACTGTTCAAGTTAGCTGCTGGAAACAAACAAACAAAAAGAGGGAATTAGGTAATGAAATGTTTCTAATGTACACATGCCCTTAGACCTGAACTTTCCTAAAGACCACCACAGTATGTTAAGCTTTATAATAAAATTTAAATTTAATCCCTGTGGAAGGATGCCATTTACTTAGATTTGAGTCTTTTGATATTACACACAAACTACTAAAGCCAGCAAAGACAAAGTACCAACCCAATCTTATAGCATAAAATTATGTTTTGCTATATATCTTCCTTATCTGCACTTACTAATTGATATTTAATAGAAAAATAAGAATATCCAAAGCTCAAAGCAGCAAGCAGTGACCACAAATCCCTTGGCAGCTTAGGAGACTTGCTTTTTATGTATTAACATGAAAATCCAACTCGCGTTTCAAACCTCTTCAAACTTCACCAGTGCTAAGGGTTCTATTCAGTTTATGTCTCAGGAAGAGGTCACTGGTTGAAATCCTAAAACCATTCATTTGCTATTTCTTAACAAAAATTTGTGAAAGCATGTAAACTATAACCCCTATCTTTTGGATAACAATGGTTAAGTATAAAAAAATTCATTTAACATCTTACAAATCATTACAGTTATACATAAAAGCACCTACAAAATTTAAAAAAATAAAAGATTCACAGTGCACTGAACCTTGGAAAATGTAAGGCTAGAACATAAGAACATTTAAAATGTGGATTCAAAGAACTATTTTTCTCTCAAAGACATTAAAACACAATGAAGCCACACAACTACTCTTCTCATCTAGCTTCTTAAAATGCAGCACACAGAAGTAAATTATTGCATATTCAGCACACTCCTTTATCACTTGATTTCTTCAAACCATGCTAAAATTCTCAAAGGAGAAATCCAGTTCTGTGCTAAGCATGGCCTTTCTCAAGGTAACCTGAACACTGAGAAACTAATACACAGGTTCAAGGGTGTAAGTATAGCAGATGTACATAAAACAGGTACATCCAACATACACATTTTCTGCATAGTTAAGTCTCATCACACACATAAACTTTAACTCACATCATTTTTTACCTCAAACTGTCAAGAGAGCTAAAAGCCTCAAGTTACCCAAATCCCACCTCAACAATACCCTTATTTTGTTCCACAGTGCATTAAATGAAGCAGCACAACAGCAGTAACATTTAACCATAGTTAAACTGCTGTAATTGAAAAGAGATAATCTGTTGGTTCTTGAAAAGGCTCAACACCTTTAGAAGACACATACTTCTGGTAACTAACTCTAATCTCTTTTGCTTTTGTAATAAGAGCTGAAAAACCCAACTCGAGGCACAAGAAAGACTGACCAAAATATTAAAAAAAAAAAACACACACACACACACGAAATCACTAAAAATTATGTTTGCCAGATGACATTAAATGAGTGATAATGATTTACCTGCTAGGCAAACTAAGTTTTCACTCCCTTAACAATTTAATAAAAATCTGGAATGCTGAGACCAACTACAAATATGGCTCAAGGAGACCCAAGCAAAGCAGCTGTATTTCTGGAAAGAACAGTAAGAGCTTCCAAAAGCAATCCTACAATGCATTTTAAAAAAGGTCACAGAAGGGTTCACAAGTTTGTCACATTAAAAGATGCAGGATTATGGATAACCTAATTTTAAACATACTGCTGTAATCATGAATTCTCCTGCTTAGCACCAAGAGGATGACCATTTTATTAATAAATAGAATCTCTCCTTTAAAAATCAAGCCATTTAAAAGCTAAAGCAAAGAAATACCAAGTGAATTCCTTACAATAGTACTTCTTCTGAAAGTCCCACCGGATCAAATAGAACCCCTATTAAATAGGCTATCTATACAGAATAAAGACTTCTACAATAAAATTTACAAGCAGAGATATATTCTGTGGATACCACATGTAAAAAAAGATTTTTAAAACCCACATGGCAGATGCACACGCACACATATGCTCACACATCACCCCCACCAAAAGAAATACCTTCAACGAGGTCAGAAGTGGTCCAAACACTAAAGCCCCCTTAAAGTCCTGGTGATTGTCCTCAATTAGAGCTGAAGTTCTTAAAATGGGCACTGCCATCTTTATTTAAAGAAGCCTGAAGGAGCAAAATACAGTCCCAGAAGTGAGTACGTATGTTACCTTCTTGTCCTGATCATCCGCGAGTGAAATGCTTTATTTGTACCTGGGTGAACCGCACACCCCTTCCCTTCTCGCTCCATCATCAAGGGGCTTCGGCATGCTCCTAAAGGCATGTCAGTTTCTGCTACTACCGCAAACTGGAACCTAATACAACATTAGTTTCCAGAGATCAACACCAAGATGCAATGTAAAACCTAATAATGTCAGTATTCATTCCATTCATATTTACACAACTGTAATAGAGAATATACATTTTCACAGGAACGAAACCATTGTACAATACTGAAGAGTTGGCGGCAGGACAGTGAAGACAAGACCAAAGCAGTTGCCACCAAAGCAGTTGCCGGGTCCCCACCTCAAGGATCCCCGCTCCTCTCTCCCCGGTTCGCTGACTGCACAAGGCTCTCAACTCCCAGTCAGAGCATCCACTCCCTACCCAACCAACTCAGTCCCCCTCCGGGCTGAGGACTTTGTCCTGTAATGAAGTGCTGTGTTCATTTTTAACATGAACATTACACGGTAGATGCTGGCTCTAAATAAAACCTTTCAACAAATCTCCCAGCACAGGAGGATTAGAGAACCTAAGCGGTTAGAGGCAGAGAAATGCGCAAAATGCCACCAAAGCAGACGACCTGCCATCTTGACTTCTGTGACAATTTTAGCTCTTGCATTCATTTAATATTTGTGAATTCTAATTTCTTTTAAAAATGTCAACATAAGGAAACTCTTGTTGCAATCACTGTCATGGCTAGATGAAGCATTCCCTTTAACTTGGCTACCTGATGATGACTCAAGCACTATTTTTTGACCAGAACACGAAATAAAAACCACAACCACACAGAAAAAAAATGCTCTCATAAAAAGCAACTTAAATTCGTTAGCCAAACACTGAAAAGGTCTCTCTGTATAAAAGGTTATAACTGCATTTACAGTGCAAACTCATGTTTCTTTCCACTCTCTCTTCTGCTGAGAACGTTATATTCAGAAACATCATTGCCTCCCTGCATTTCTTTAAAACACCTGAGAAAGGTAAGGCTCAAAGAGACACCCACTCAAATGCAACAGGTTTCTGATCCTGGGACTTCCACAACACAGCTGCTGCTATCAAAGGTCCAAGATTTTCATTATAGCATTATGGTCAAACTTAAAACTCAAAAAGGCTCTGGATGAAAAGGGGAACTTGCAATGACCATTACACGCCACAGACTGTCCCTCGGCATGTTCTAGCAACTGGTCTTCACCGGAGCAAGGCAAGTCATATACAGCATCTGTTTAATAAACAAACAAACAAACAAACTCAATAACTTAGTAAGAACTCAAATACTGCCCCTACCCACCTTTTGTTATAAAGGAATGCACGTACAGTATGTATTTTTCCACATCACACTCTAAATCTAACCTAAGCAGATACTTTCCCTTCCCTAAACTGGGGCTCAACAGATTTTCTAATCTAGGATTGTCAATTTCCACACATTCATTCAAAATCTTAATTTCAGCCTTTAAGACCCTTAATATTCACATGCTTTCAAAAATGGGCACACTTTTTTTTCTACTCCCGTATTTGTTTTCTGTGCTAACATAAAGGAAGCTTTCTAAAAAGATCAAAATGTAAGCACTGTAAAAAGAAGGGGGGAAAAAAAGGCAAGCACTGTAAAGATTATAACTGTAATCCAAGATTTACAAAGAGTCCAATTCTAGAAAAATAAAGATGGAGCTCACCAAATCTTTAGGGAATATATTAACCTAAGGAAAAATCCAAATTTTCAAAATCACAGTCCAACAAAACTCCCAATTTATCACGGTTTGTTTTTGTTTTTTGTTTTAAAGATAGAGGAGACCGGACTGGAAAATGGATCGGGAATGGACATCAAGCTGAGGCACGGGCACCTGGGAGGTTCAGCTGGTTAAGCATCTGCCCTTGGCCCAGGTCATGATCTCAGTATCCTGGGATTGAGTCCCACAGGGGGCTCCCTGCAAAGCAAGGAGCCTGCTTCTCCCTTTCCCTCTGTCCTTCCCCCTGCCTGTGCATGCTCTCTCTCTCTCTCTCTCTCTCTCTCTCTCTCTCCAATAAATAAATAAAATCCTAAAAAAAAAAAAAAAAAAAGGCTAAGGCACAAAGAAAATCTCAAATGAGGTTTCCCAAGACAAAAATCTTTTTATACTTCCTTTTCAAGACAAATTTTATATGTCCATACCATCCCCAACTAAGCTAAGTATATGAAGTTACAATATTCCTTCTTCTGAACATACGGGCTTTTTAAAGATTTTGTAAAGTAACTGATTTCTGAGCTTATGTTAATTAAACTATCAGCCTATCATATCCCCACCAGACAACATGGACAGAAAAATCTTATTAAGGGGACTTCTACCCCCATACATATATATACCAAACAACTGACAGTTCTTATGACTTCATAGTTAACCTTAATTTTCCAAAATAGGTATAAAGCATCTTTTAAAATAGCATTTATCCTGCTTAAACTATAAGCAGTACTGCAAGAAAATATGATTATAATGCTTCCTATTTCTTCAGACTTTTCTGCATGAAAGGCTTAAATTTAAATGGTGAATAAATGTGTATCTACTGCACAGGAATTTCACACAATTCAGAACAGCACGTAAGAAAAGTCTACCGTACTTACAAATGACATCTATTAAATCAATATTAACGAAGAACTTTCTACATTCATCACCATTACTTTCCAAATCAGGTCACAAACCTACTCTTTATAACTGATTAATAAAAGCTATCTCTAGTACCTGCTTAAAAAGTTGCTCACTGCCTCCTGAAAAGCAGGGAATGTTGCCCTTCTGAAGTTAGTACTCATATATGTATGTGAGAATGAGGTCTCCTCACCTTTACAATACTTGGTTCTACTCCCCTCTCACCAATATTTATTGACTTACAATGTTCACACATAGCACCAAGGTTTGACATGCGCACACTGAAAGGAAAAATCATTTCCTCTTGATCATTTAAGGTCATTTTAGCAAGTTTCATACTTAGAGCACATGACCACATATACGAACTCTCTACAAACATGTGCAACTTTTACTGCTTGTCCATCACAGTCCATCATACCACTAAAATCAAGGTTAGGGGAAAACCAAATCAAATCCCACCAGAGGTTTTAAAAAGAAAATGACTTGCCTGTTTCAAAATTATCCTGAAGTTTTCGTGGATGAAGTCTTTTTTCACATTTCTATTTAAAAAAAAAAAACACATACACACACACACACACAGCTGCAGTTATTCTATTCACTATAAATAAAGAGATGTATGATCAAGTTTCTCAGGAAGAAGATTCAACCAGTAACATAAGCACCATCGCCGGTCTTACACTGCTATATTTATTTTTTATTTTAAGCCTAAAACTTTTTTTAGTTCTTGATTACATGTACAATATAGAAACACCAGAAAAAGAAAATTACTCATTAAATTTCTCAACTCAGAGATAATTAAGTATTAACATTTCGTGTATCTTTGTAGTTTTTTCTCTATGATGATACTGTGAATTTTCATATAATTACTAAAAATTCAGTGGAATTATTCAGTACATAGGACTATGCTATAATCTACTTTTTTTTTTTTTACATTTATTTTAGAGAGAAAAAGTATGAGCACATGCAAGTGGGGTAAGGGTAAGAGGGAAAGAAACTCCAAGAGACTCCCCACTGAGCACGGAGCCCAACATGGGACTCAATCCCACTATCCTGAGATCATGACCTGGGCCGAAATCAAGAGTTGGACGCTTAACTGACTGAGCCACCCAGGCACCCCAATCTACTTTTTAAATGTAATATACTGTGAACATTATTTTTTTCAATAAATATAAATCTGTGCCATCATTTTTAATGACTACATGGTAGTCCATTGCATAGATCTATGATACTGCATTTAAAATTTTATTTTGGGGTATCTAGACTGTTTCCATATTTTCATTATCAAAAGAGTAATGGAATGAACATTCTTTGAAATTCTCTTCTAGGGAAACAATTTAAGAACCTTTTCAGGGGCGCCTGGGTGGCTCAGTGGGTTAAGCCTCTGCCTTCAGCTCGGGTCGTGATCTCAGGGTCCTGGGATCAAGCTCCACATTGGGCTCTCTGCTCAGCGGGGAGCCTGCTTCCCCCTCTATCTCTACCTCTCTGCCTGCTTGTGATCTCTCTCTCTGTCAAATAAATAAATAAAATCTTAAAAAAAAAAAAAAGAAAAGAAAAAAACCTTTTCAGGCTTTCCATATAGTCAAGCTACTCTCTAGAAGATTGTACCAAGTAGTTATTTTTAAGTGTTGCCAAAACACTCAGCAATATACAAATGGCTCTTTTTATCTGTGCTAATCTGACAGGAAAGAAGTATAATAGTAAAAGGCAAGTAATCTAACAGTAAAGTCATCTTTAACATGTGTTTGCCCACGGAATCAATATACCCCAAGTTAAGTAAATAGCAAACAGAAATTGAGGTAAAAACTTTTTGCTAAAACCTTAAAATTACTATTATCACCCACCATTAAAAAAAGAAAAGTAGGTGAAACTACAAGAGAATTCATCAGGACTTAAAGAAAAGGTAAGCAATGGAGACCCATTGGTTATGAACTACTTTCTAGAGCACAGACTAAGAGTTAAAGTCAATGCTTAAAATGCTCACAGTTATCTGTCTGCAGGCCTAGTCTAAGGGCTACAGCATTGGCTTTATTTTAATTTTCTAAATTCTATCAACTTAAAAGGAAAAAAATATACCACGATGTTCTTCCCAACTTTCAACTTAATTAAAACAATACAGACTCTGGGGCGCCTGGGTGGCTCAGTGGGTTGAGCCTCTGCCTTCAGCTCAGGTCATGATCTCAGGTCCTGAGATCGAGTCCCGCATCGGGCTCTCTGCTAGGCAGGGAGCCTGCTTCCTCCTCTCTCTCTCACTCTCTCTGCTTGCCTCTCTGCCTACTTGTGATCTCTGTCAAATAAATAAATAAAATCTTTAAAAAAACAAAAACAATACAGACTCTATACAGAAAAATAGTTAAGGACTTGCTCTTTCTAGAAAGCAGGGTTGACTACACAGTTTTCACAGTATTAAAAAATATTTAAATACCCACATAAAAAAGCAAAAATCAGCTGTGCAATTGAATCAATGTGACAAACCTGTAACAGAGAGCCAGAGATTTTAAGTGAGCAAATAATGCACAATTTCACTCCATAAAATCTTACCAATATATCAATTTCATGTGCTTTGACAATGCCCTTGCTCCACTCCTAAAACAGGGTGAACTGTCTTCTCAGATTTAGAGCTAGAAGTCTTACCATCAAGGGATTCTGATGCTTGGCTGGCTGGCTGTGGACCCCGTTTGTTCTTTTCTTTTGATTAGGCGAATCCTGATACTGTTTTCTGCCATTCCCCCTCATACTTTGATTCTGTTTTTCCAATGAGAAGAAATAAAATGTAAACCTACACTGTAATGTAACAGGACAAAAGCATATACCCCCAAGAGTATGTTTAGCTGGTTGAATAAGAGTTTAGCCAAGTCCTCCCCCTAAATTTTCCTAAAACACTGGGGAACCACATCATATCAATATCAGTATCAAACTGATGCTTGCCAAAAGGGGGATGCACAAAATGGGTAAAGGGGAGTGGAGGATACAGGCTTCTAGTTATGGAATGAGTAAGTCACAAGAATAAAAGGCACAGTGTAGGGAATACAGTCAATCACATTGTAATAGCATTCGTTATACAGTGGTTTTATGGTGACAGATGGGAGCTACACCTGTGGTAACAGAGAGATGATGAATCACTATGTTGTACACCTGAAACTAATGTAACATTGTCAGCTATACTCCAATTAAAAAAATTATTTTTTAAATAGTAAGGAAATAGATTGACAGAAACTCCCATTACCACATGCTTTTAATCCAATTTCATTCATTCTGCTCTTCCTGGTATTTTGTAGTGTGGTATAAGATATATAAAGTTTACCTCTATAACTACTTTTAAATGTACGATTCAGTGGCAGTAAGTATAGTTACAATGTTGTGCAACCATCACCAATATCCATCTCCAGAACTTATTTCATCATCCCAGACAGAAACTTTATACCCATTAAATAACTCTGTATTCCCCCATCCCTCACTTTGGTAAGCTCAAGTTAATTTGTATCTATAAATTTGTCTGTTAGGTACCAAATATAAATGTGACTTACTTCATGTAGCATGTGCCTAAGTTGCAATGACCATGCTGTAGTATGTATGTGTCATGATTTCATTCCTTTTTACGACTATTATACCTGTACGTATATTCTGTCAATCTGTTCATCTGTTGACAGACATGTGGGCTGTTCCCATCTTTTGGCTATTGTGAATAATGCCACTATGAACACGGGTACACAAGTTACCTGGTTGAGTCCTTGATTTCAGTTTTGTGAGGATATACCCAGCAAGTGGAATTGCTGGATCATACGGTAATTCTGTATTTAACCTTTTAAGGCACCACCAAACTATCTTCCATGGCAGCTAGACCATTTACATGCCCACCGAAAATGCAGGGGAATTCTAATTTCTCCACATTCTTGTCAACACTTGCGGTTTTCCTTTTTTTTTTTTTTTTTTTTCCATAAATTTGCGTGTCATCCTCACGCAGAGGTCATGCTAATCTCTGTATCGTTCCAATTTTAGGATATGTGTTGATAAAGTGAGCACTAATTGGAGTTTTTTGCTGTTGAGTTAGGAGTCTGGATGTTAATCTAACATCAGATATGTGATTTGCAAATATTCTCTCATTCTGTGGGTTTATCTTTTCATTGAGTGTCTTTTCATTGAGTGTTTCATTGATGTACAATAAGTTTTTAATTTTGATGACCCCAGAATATTTTTTAAAAGAATGCAAACAAAGAGTGGCGCACAAATGGATGGCTAAAATGATAAAGACAGACACTGCCAAGAATTAGTAAGGATGTACAACAAGTGGAGTTCTCATATATTCAGTTGGGAATAACTTAAGAACAGGCATATCGAGTGATCTAGAAATTCTATTCATTATCTATACACAAAAGAATACTCATCAAAATATACATACAGAAATATCCATAGCAACATTGTTTGCAAAAGCCCAAAACTGGAAACCAAAATGTCCATTAAGAGTAGAACGGATAAAGTGTGGTATAATCATGCACGAGAATACAACACAATAATAAACCTTTCATTGATGGCACATATACCAAAGTCAGATGCTAATTTTTATTACTTACTATACTGTATTTCTACCAAAACTGTAAAGGTGAAGAAATCTCTGCTGCGCTTCTAATCACAAGTCGGGAACAGAAAAGTCTTAGATCAACAATGCAAAGTTCTGTAACTGTTAATCTGCAATTCTTCAATTCAGATACATTTCAAAGTCAAATCTAAATTTATGAAAATCTCTTTAAATGTATTATCACTCACCTTTGCTTTTAAAAGGTCAGACATTTCAGAATGATTATTATATGGCTTTTGCTGCAGTGGTTGCCTGTGCTTAATCCACTGGTCACCAGGAGAACCTTCAGGAAATAACTGCTGACTGTGGCGGAATTTGGTTCGACTACACCAAGATTTAAAAAAAATAAAAACCATATCACGAAATTTTCACTTAAAAGTCTTCTAACACCTTGATAGTTTATCTTACAGATCACTAACCTTACTTTCTTATTTACTGTCTACCTCTCTGCAGTGGAATACAAGTTCCCTAAGGACAGGGATTCTTATCTACTTAACCTACTGCTTTGTCCCTGGCACCCAGAAGAGTGACTGGTGTTCACTATTTCTTGAACGAATTAATAGTGCTACATTTAATCCCAAACTTCCCTAAATTATCCATATTACCTCCTCCCTATAAATGATTATACCTTTTGGGGGCACCTGGGTGGTTCAGTGGGTTAAAGCCTCAGCCTGCAGCTCAGGTCATGATCCCAGGGTCCTGGGATTGAGCCCCACATCAGGATCTCTGCTCAGCGGGGAGCCTGTTTCCCCCTCCCGCTCCACCTGCCTCTCTGACTACTTGTGATCTCTGTCTGTCAAATAAATAAAATCTTAAAAAAAAAAGTGATTATACCTTTTAAAAACCTGAAGAAAATAATTCTAAATTTAGTTGAAACAAACAAATGTAAGTGGATGTTCTTTCTTATTAGGAGAGACAACTCATTCTCAACCAGAATGTTTAAAGTGTGGAATCTGATCCTACACAGATACAAGTTACAAGTCCTCTATGTTAGAAGGGGATCTGAAATTTAAGCTATATTCTAAAGCAAAAACATTAAGGGGCCCAAGACAATAGATGAGCAAATTAAATAAAGGTCTGGTCTGAAATTCTTATGTGAAAGAATCTGATTGTAAAAGGTTGTATTCACACAGTAGTCTGTAATAAAGAGATATCATTTTTTAAAAAAGATTTTATTTACTTGACAGAGAGATCACAAGTAGGCAGAGGGGCAGGCAGAGAGAGAGGGGGAAGCAGGCTCCCTGCTGAGCAGAGATCCAGATGCGGGGCTCGATCCCAAGACCCGAGATCATGACCTAGGCCAAAGGCAGAGGCTTAACCCAGTGAGCCACCCAGGCGCCCCAAGAGATACCATTTTATAGTACCGCTTACATGTATAGTAACAGTCCAGGGTCACTGATCTAAAGAACTGTACTACAGTGATTGTTTCTGAATATTTCACAATTCTCCTTTCCCATTTAAAAATAACAATAAAATTGCAGCATGCCAACTTTATTGAGACAAAATTCAGGTATTTCCTCTAATACATCATCACAGACATTAGTCTATATGCTAAGAACACACCATCCTGCCTAAGAAACCTGAAAGTTGGTTAGAATTGCTTCGTAACATCCTTACTCCACTCTCCAGGTCCACAAAGCCTAGGACTAAAAGATACAGGAGTCACCTCACTTGCTATGATAAACAGTCTCCCAAACACCAAATACCACTGTTTTCCAAACACTGTCACTATTTTCTAACTTTTGAGTAGTATGTTTCTTCTAAATCTTAGCTACATTCCTATCTACTTTTCCTATACTGTTTCACTTGTGTCTAATAGTATATCATTTGGGGATTATAATCGCAGGTTCTGAAAGGCAGAAATGACTCTCGAGGCATAGTCTAAGCTCCTGTCCTCATAAAACCCAACCAAGATGAAATATTCCCTATGTATTTAAAAAAATATTGACTATAGATGTGGTTTGTTCCTGTTTAATTTCTGAAGCCCTCAGACAGAATCAGAACATTTAATTAAAGAAAATGTATAACGCAATTCTCTCTGAACCTAACATATAAAAGTTCTAGCAAGCTTATTACAAATATATATGCTTATTTAACAAATGTAAGTGGATGTTCTTTCTTATTAGGAGAGACAACTCATTCTCAACCAGAATGTTTAAAGTGTGGAATCTGATCCTACACAGATACAAGTTACAAGTCCTCTATGTTAGAAGGGGATCTGAAATTTAAGCTATATTCTAAAGCAAATATACTCAGCCTACTCTGTAATTATAATTTGGATATAATTAAGTTCCAACCAAGAAAATGTTCTTTGTGGTTCCTGTCCATGTAACAGTCACTTTTTACAATACAACAAACAGTCTTTGTTAGGGTAAGAAAAGCAGCAAGGCCAAGTCTTCACAATTCAAGTTTCGGAACAAATTATTCATCAGTATTCCTCATAACCCCTATACAAAAACAGACTTCAATATATCCTCCATTCAACGATCTTCAGAGACTCAACTGTCTCTGAAGTAAGCTATGAGAAGAGAATAGCAACATACACAGAGGCAGATTTTTTTTCCCTCCATGTTTGATCTCCCCATCTAGAAAGTTGGTACCCTCTTGTGTATGCTATTTTAAAATGTGCCTGAAGCTCCTTTCAAACTCCAATTAACCTTTTTCATCTCATCAAAAACCCTTAAAAAAATTTCTATTATCTCTAAGACCAGTAACAAAATAATACCCACAAAAAGGAATCCAATACCTCTGTAAACTTTAGAATAAAATGCTACTGCATTAAAAACTATCAGAATGCAGGAATTCTATGAATATATTTCTTTACCTCAATTTTTCCACAGTGGGTTTAGCTGGTGTGCTACCAACTGAGGAAAATCCATTGTCACTGTCTGAGGAATCTCCAAATCTCCGCGAAAGCCAGTCCCTTAATGGTCTATGAAAACATTAAGAATTCACTCTTAAAATTTGGCTACATTAAAAAAAAAAAAAAAAAAAAAGATCAGAAGTAGTATTGTATTTCAAGAAACAGGAACATACCTGATAAAGGGAATGGCCATAAAAAATTTATTAGGTGCCAAACCAAGTTTTGATTTTGGGGTCATATCATTTCTATGGCAGGGCAATTTCTCAATGGAGAACCACTCAATGTTCTGAGACACAAAAAAATAATTCATTTAGTTAATTATCATCAGGGAGTTTCTAAAAGCAATTTCTTACTTCATTCAATTGGGATACTGCCCAGCAGCCTGAAAATACTTTAAATTACATACCCGAATTTCTCTTCTGGTTTTTGGGTTAAATTTTGTGTCTTTTGGAATTCCTGGAATGATGTACAAACGAGCAAGCTGGTCATTGATTCGAAGTTCAATGTAATCATCCTTACAAATATAATCTTTGATGTCAAAACCAGTTTCTTCAAAGACCTGGAAATAACAAATTTAGGTGACGATTTTCAATTGTTTCTGTTAGACCTCCAGTTTGTTAAAATTTATTCCAAAGCAAAAACTCAGAAAAATCCAGACAATTAAAGGCATGAAAACATGAGGCAAGAAATCAGAATATTCTAGGATCTAGTTCTAGCTCCAAAGTGTGTTCAACTATGGATAAACCCTTTTACATATCTCAGCCCAAGTTCTTCACCTATTCAATGAAGAAAGATGTGTGATTTATAAAAAGAAGTATGTATTATTTGGTCTTCATCCCTTTCTGATACAAAGCTCCTAAAACCCTTGGAATTTCCTAATCGATGAAAGCAACCAAGGTACCTTCTGACATGTTACTGAGGTGACTTTTGGACCCCACCTAAAGATGGGGGACTGATTCCAAGGACAACCAACCAAGGGATCAGAGGATTAGAATTTTCAGTCCACCTTCAAACCCTACCCCACATCCCACCTCCATGAAGGGGAGAAAGTCTGGAGACTGAGCTCCATGGTCAACAGCTAATGATTTAATCAACCCTGCCTATATAAAGAAGGCTCCATAAAAACCCAAGGTGGGGCACGACTTCCGGGCTGGTGAACGTGGAGATTTGGAAGAGTGGTACACTAGGAGACAACACAGAAGTTTTGCAACCCTTCCCCACATCCTGCCCTCTGCAGCTCTTCCATCTGAGTGTTCTTGAATTATATATCCTTTTAAATACACTAGTGATCAAGTAAAATGTTTCTCTCAGTTCTGAAAGCCACTCTAGCAAATTAAACCGAAGGAGGGTGTCTTTGGAACCTCCAACAGGTTAGATGCACAGAAGACAACAAATTGCAACTGTCATCTGAAGTAAAAGGAAGTCTTGTAGGACCGAGCCCTTAACCTGAAGAATCTGATGACATTTCCAGGTAGACAGAGTCAGAACTGAGTTGAACTGTAGGATACCCAGCCAATGTCTGACAACTGCTTGTTGGTGTGAGGAATGTCACCCTTCCCCCAACACACACATACATTATAATTGAGTCCATAACTCTTAAAATGTTAGAATACAGCAACAGCTCCCAGTCTGTGGAGTGTACATACTGGGACCACATATGGATTTTATTCATAGCATCTACAAATCTAAATGTACACCAAGCTACAAACTAAAAATTGCCTTACACATATAAAACTGTTTCTTGGGCTCCGGGATGCCTCAGTTGGTTAAACATCTGTCTTCAGCCCAGATCATGATCCCAGGGTCCTGCAATAGAGTCCTGCACTGGGCTTCTTGCTCTGTGAGGAGTCTACTTCTCCTTCTCCCTCTGCACCTCCCCACCCTGCTAGTGCTCTCTCTCTTGCTCACTCTCTCTCAAATAAATAAAATCTTAAAAAAAAAAAAAATTTAAAATGAAAACTGAATTGTGATTAGTACTAAAACTTAAACGCACAGATTCCAAAAGTATAGCTACAACTCCATGTGTTGGGGTTGGCAGGGTGGGGAGATGGATGCAAAAAAAACTGAAAACCAATGAAACAGACTCATGTTCTAAAACTGCCTTCCCTCAGCAGTGCCTGAAGGGCTGGAAGAGAAGGAATTGGGAGAACATAAATCTCAGGAACTGATATTACATCTAACCTTCACCTCTTCTCTCAACTAGAGAAACCACACTTACTCTGATTAAACCACTGGTCTCTTCTGGACTTAAAAGTTCTCCTTCAAATAACATCTGCATTACTCTGGCAAAGTCCTTCCCCCACTTCACCCCCACCAATCAAAAAGGCTTTGAATTCTCAGTGGTTAGAACCCATTTTGGATCTTTTACACATTCCTAGTTCCTCCCCCTTCCTCTGGTTCCAGCATCTTTTAACCACTCAGTGGGACAAAAGATGTTAAAACACATGGACAGGGGCACCTGGGTGGCTCAGTGGGTTAAGCCTCTGCCTTCGGGTCAGGTCATGATCCCAGGGTCCTGGGATTGAGCCCCGAATCTGGCTGTCGCTCAGCGGGGAGCCTGCTTCCTCCTCCTCCTCTCTTTCCCTCTCTTTCTCTCTGCCTGCCTCTCTGCCTACTTGGGATCTCTCTCTGTGTCAAATAAATAAATAAATATTTAAAACACATGGACAGGCTTGAATCTCTTCAAAGGTACAGGTATGCAGGAGCTTTTCCTGCTCATTTGTCTCTTCCCTCTTTGTCACTTCATGCACCTCTTTCTACATTCCTCAAAAAAGGCACAGTATCCTTCTCCCAGACATGTGTAGTCTAGGACTCCCAATTTAAGCTCCTCCACGATATACAACTCATTTGTTACCATTTCTGTAAATCCCTAAGCATGCTAAACCTCCTGTTCCTCATTAAAAATAAAAAAGCTAGGTGAATATACTCACTTGAAAAATGTTCTATAGGTATACAGAATATGAGAAACATTTGTATTTCCTACTTCTGGGAATGTCAGACTAGGTACCTAAGTACATATGTGGTATTGGAAAAAAATTGTCCTGTGTTTCTTTATATCTACATCTGGTATTGTCCTATGTTTTTTTATATGTTTGTCCTATGTTGTCCTATGTTTCTTTATATCTACACCTGGTATTGTAGGTATACATAATTAACAGTCTATTAAAGGTGATCAGTGACATTCAAACAAAGCAAAACTGTTATCTTTCCCAGAATAATCTGAAGCTCCATGACAAAAGTTTCATACCTCCCCATATCTTAACATTTATATACACAGGACAATGTAATTAAAACCATCAATCATGTGGATTTATTTCACAATGCATATATGCTATCTGATGTTTCCATTAAAGCAAAATCCAGATGCTCTAGTTTTCCTTTTACTTAAAACAAAGGTCTACTCTACTGTTTGAGACAGAGATTAAAAACATTTTTGATTATATATTAACCTTGATAGATATTAGATTTATAACTATAACAATTAAGACTGCGGCACCAAAAAAAAAAAAAAAAAAAAAAAAGACTGAGATACCTAAAAGTTTGCACATCAATGATACAGGAACTGCTTCTCTTTATCAAAGGGAAGACATAAACCAGAAGACATTAACAGTACAATCCACAATATATCAGAAAGCCCTATGTATCAAGAGAAGTAACCCAACTTTTAAAAAATGGGTAATATACAAGTGGGTATTTAATTAAGAAAACATACAAGTGGCCAATAAGAACATGACAATGTGCTCAAAATCATTTAACTTTAAGAAAATGCAAATAAAAATACAATGATAAAGCACTGCATTCCCATCAGAATGGCTAAATTTTTTCATTGAAATATAATTAATGGATAACATTACTTTCAGGGGGTGCCTGGGTAGCTCAGTGGGTTAAGCCTCTGCCTTCAGTTCAGGTCATGGTGTCAGGGTCTTGGGATCAAGCCCTGCATCGGGCCTTCTGCTCAGCGGGGAGCCTGTTTCTCCCTTTTGCCTGCCTCTCTGCCTACTTGTGATCTCTCTCCCTCTGTCAAATAAATAAATAAAATCTTAAAAAAAAAAAAAAGATTGGTCTCTCTTCTCCCCCCCTTCCCCTCCCTCACTCTATCTCTCAAAAAATAAATGAATAAAAATTTTTAAAAAGCATTAGTTTCAGCAGTACAACACAATGATCTGGTACTTGTGTGTTTTTTAAAGATTTTATTTATCTGACAAACAAATATTTACTTGGCAGTGAGAGAGGGAACACAAGCAGGGAGAGTGGGAGAGGGAGAAGCAGGCTTCCCATTGAGCAGGGAGCCCGATGTAGGGCTCCCTGGGAACATGACCTGAGCCAATGCAGATGCTAAGGACTGAGCCACCCAGGCGCCCCTAATGATTTGATATTTGTATACAGTGAAAATTACCATAAGAGTTTTTCTACTATTATTGAGATATAATTGACATATATCACTGTATAAGCTTAAAGTGTACAGCATAATGCTTTGACATAAATATACTGTGAAATGATTACCACCTTAAGTTTAGTTAGCAACCATTGCCTCATACAGCTACAGTAAAAGGGAAAAGGCAAAAGTATTTTTTTCCTTGTGATGAGAACTCTTAAGATGTACTCCCTTAACAACTTTTATATATATCATACAGCAGTGGTTACCTATAGTCATCATGCTGTACATTACATCCCTACCACTTATCTATAATAGGAAGTTTGTACCTTTTGACCATGTTCCTCAAATTCTCCCTACCCCCCACATCCCCACTCTGGGAACAACAAATATGATCTTTTTCTGAGACTGGTTTTTTTGTTTTTTCTTTCTAGATTCCACATATAACTGAGATCATACGACATCTGTCTTTCTCTTATTTCAAAATCTTAGCATAATGCCCTCAAGGTCCATATATGTTGCACAAATGGCAGGATTTCCTTGTTAATGGCTGAATAATACCCATTTTGTGTGTGCAGTGTGTGTATGTATGTGTGTGTATATATATATATATCCCACAGCTTCTTTATCTCCTGTCAGTAGACACTTAGGTTGTTTCCACTTCTCAGATACTATAAATAATGCTGCAACCATGGGTACAGTATCTTTTCAAATTAGAGTATTAGTTTCTTTTGAATATAGTGGAACTGAAGTGGAATTGCTGGATCATATGGTAGTTTTATTTTTTGAGAAATCTCTATACTGTTTTCCATAGTGGCTATACCAGTTTACAATCTCACCATCAGTCCCCTTATCTTCACATCTTCACATTTATCTTTTTGATAACAGCCATTCTAACAGGTGTGAGGTGATACCTCCTTGTGCTTTTTTTTTTCTTTTTGCAGTTTTGATTTGCAATTCCCCTAATGACTAGTGATGTTGAATACCTTTTCATGTACCTGTCGGTATTTGTAGCTCTCCTATGGGAAAATGTCTATTCAGGTCTTTTGCTCATTTTTAATTGGATTAGTAGGGGGGTTGTTTTTGTTACTGTGTTTAGGAGTTCTTTATATATTTGGGGTATTAACCCCTATATAATTTGCAAATGTCTTTTTTCCGTTCTGTAGCCTTTTTACTTTGTTAGC